GGGTAAGTGTTAGGGTTAGGTTAAAGATAGGGGTAGGGTAAGGGTTAGGATTAGGTTAAGGGTGGGATTGTGATATCGTATCTAAAAGCCCGAAGTTTCTGCTTAATATTACAAGGAGTCTTCAAAATTCCATTATTACTGGGTTTTGAGCAAAGGATAATTTTCGGAATAAACCTCCATATGTCCACGTTTGCCGACGACAATTCGAGCTCGATCCGAGTTCAATTCGACCTTGATTTGTTTTTCGCGCCTTCTTTCGAGTTACGCGCCCAACGCCGTCGACATATAGCCATTAGGCATTACATTATTTCAACAAAATTGTACGACTTTTTTTACTTATTTTTACAAAATCCTTTCTTAGTAAATCAGTTTTACCAACTCATAAATACCCCATTCTCACGGTTAGCTTAGGACAAAATCCTACGGCTTGCTGTATCCGAGACCACTTCCAAGGAAACTCCTGCCGAAATTACGCCTTCTTTAAATTTTATACTAAATGAAAGGTTATTCTTCGGTTTTAGAAAAATATCTAATTATGAGCTTTTTTTACAGCTGTGAGGTGTTCATTCATAATACATGGTATCCGTCAATTTATTAAGGCTGCCTATACTGTATAAAGCATGCTCCACACCTATTGGAGCATTTTATGCGAACTACCTAACTTCTTCCTCAAACTGTAGGCGAGAACGTACTTTTTCTTAAACAGGATGTACACAGAGCGCAGTCTGTAAAGCTTGAGTTTGAGTGTAGCATTTAGTAGGTTTTTAAAAATCATTCAGCAATTTAGAAAATTTTTTAAAACCGACAGATAACTTTTCTTTAAGTATAAAATTTAAAGAAGACGTAAGTTGCTACCAAACGAGTACGAGAAATAATATTTTCGCGCCTGATTTCCATTAAATATATTTGAATTTATAAAGCAGTCAAAATCAATGATACAAACGCACACTATTTAAGTAATTACTTTTTACAGTACATACGTTTTGTTAGTGGTCAGACCGAAGCTCCTTAAGAAGCCCGCATCTTACCATGACTGAAATACCTCTAGGCTAGACTATATGATAATAACTATCACAAGCTGAGTCATTGACGTTTAGCGAAGGAGTATAAATCTTTCGCATTTGTCGGCATGTTGCACGAATTCTGGTGCGTACTTTACATATCCCTATTGTTATCTCTTATAGAAATCAGTTGTCATGGGACATTTTAAGCCCGATCCAAATGCCACTAGCACCGCTGAGTAAATTATATCCACGTAGTAAATGCAAGGAGGAGTGATTTCTCAGTTTAAACTGGACAAAAAGTGTATCTGTTTTACCATCAACGGTGATGAGCAATCACTTTGTGAACGCTGTAATCAATTGCGTCGACTCGCATATAGTACGCGCCAGAATTCGTGTAACATGCCGACATAGGCGAAAGATTGATAGGCTTTCGCTAATCGGTATTGACTCAGGTTGTGAAACTGCTTAGCGCTCAGCCGATTCTGAAGTTATTTCAGTCATGATAGGATGCGGGTTTTTTGACGAGCTTCGTTCTAACCATTAAAGAAGCGTATGTACCGTAAAAAGTAACTGCTTAAATAGTATACGTATTTATCATTGATGTTGACTGCCTTTATGAATTAAAATATATTCTATGGAAAATCTACACGAAAAACATTACTTCTTGTACTCAGTTGGTAGCAAATTACGCATTCTTTAAATTTGATAATTAACAAAAAGGTATTTTTCGGTCTTAAAAAATTTCTAATTATGACCTTTTTTTATAATTTTTAGGTGTTCATTCACAGAACATCATATCCGTCAATTTATTAAGGCTACCTTTACTGTATAGAGCATGCTCCATATCTATTACAACACTCAATGAAAACTATGTGAGATCCTCCTCAAACTGTGGGCAAAAACTTACTTTGCCTTCAACAGGATGTATAGAGTGCGCAGTTTGTAAACCTTGAATTTCAATGTAGCAGTCAGTAGGTTTCAAATTATTCGGCAATTTGGAAACTTTTTTAAAACCGCAAGATACCCTTTCTTTAAGTATAAATTTTAAGAATGCGTAATTTGCTACCAAATCAGCGCATAGAATAATCTTTTCCTGCATATTTTTCAAAACTATATTTGAATCTATAAAGGCAGTTAACATCAATGACAAAAGGCATACTACTTAAGTAGCAACTTTTTATAGTACATGCTTGAAATTAGTGGTCAGAAAGAAGTTCTTTAAAAAGCCGGCATCCTGATCTCACCAAAATGTATTGAGATCAGGCTATATGATCTTCATTTTTAAAACCATACGTAATTAATATGTTTGAATCGAGAATGCATTTCACAATTCCGAGCAACGTTTCATGAGATAAGGAATCTACTGTATATGCACGCAGTCATCTTTAATTGAAAACTGATTTTAAGCACTGATTTCGACCGTATAGCAAGCCCGCCTATACACTAACCTCTCATCAACATTCATCCTACTAACTGTGTTCTTGACGTTCAACGTATATTGCCGTGTTAGTAAGGTTGCCCACACCTTCAGTAACCCAGATATGACTGGGGTTACATCCAGGAAAAGGATTCGTCAAGAGTTGTTGCCTTATATGTCATTTTCACGAGACCTCGTTCAAATTAACGCTGATACCTACCTTTATTCCGCCTTCTACATTTTTTACGGATGAATATTTCCCATATACTGAGATAATGAAAATATACGGAAGCGAAAGGTTGCATCTCAAATATACTTGCATATAGGGCTATGCTTTTAGAATTTGAAATATTATATGCGCAAAGATTGGAGGTCCAGATATATTATCGTTTTTATCATCTCCCAAAGAAGACGAAATAGAAGGTTCAAAGACATGGACAATTTCTTTAATTTACCTGAAGATATACGATTCAATTTGACTGGAGATAAAAGAACGTACTTTTCTCTTTATACTGAAATATTTTCCGCATAAGTGGATTAATTCCACGATCT